ACTACAGGCGCACGCTACCATGCCCGGCTAATTTTTTTGATTTATTGTAGAGATGAAGTCCTGCCAAGTTGCCCAGGCGGGTCTTGAACCCGCGAACTCAGGCAATCCACTCACCTCAGCCTCCCAAGGCGTGGGATTACAGGCTGAGCCACTGAGCCCAGCTTCGATGACTTCTTTAAACACATGTTTGATGAACAGAACTGAGGAGGCGCAGATGAGCAAGAGAGAAAGAAGACTAGCCCGCAATCCCCCTGGAGGTGATCACTGGTGCCTCCACTCCACATCCACTCCACCTACTGTTCTGTAACCTGCTGTTTTCACTCATGAATGTGCCAAGAGGACCTTTCAAGTCAAAGAGACATTTCCACATCATTTTCTTTGACGACAGCCCAGTGTGTCGTGTGTCTTACCAGCTCCTCAGTGGTGGCTTCTGGGATTGTTTCTGGTGTCACGAATAACTCCGCCAGGAGCATCCTCTGCCCCTTCAGCAAACTTCCCTGTGACCTACTCAGCGGCAGGCGACTTTCCAAGTACTGGGCATAAAAACAGAGGCCTGTGCACACACACACACCTCTGGGTATATCCTATTAGTTCTTGCAGCGAATGGCTGGGTGGGGTCTGACTAGGTAAAGGGAGCACTTCTGCTGGGATTTGTCCTCCCAGAGGAAGCAGGGAGAGTGAACCTATTTCCTGGGCCTGCGTCTGGTCGTATGACCCCGCAGGCCAGGGCTTCACTAGGTGGCTGTGTTTTCCCAGACTCCAGGCTGGGCTGCTGGGGCTGGGTGTGAAATGTAATATTTGAAATTGGGCCACCCTAAATAATCAACCAGAGACCCTGAGGTGCCTTCTGGGCCCAGCTCGCAGGCAGCCCTTACCTAGGAGGATCTGAGGAGGTGAGAGGGAGCCCGAGCTTCCACCCAGGCTGCTGAGGGCGGTCCGGGGTTGGCCCCGCCCCTTACCCCAAGCCTCCACCCCTGTCCTTCCTACGCTTCGGGCGGGTGCCCAGGTAGCTCAGGAGCCCAAACCTGTTGGGCCGGTTTTGAGATCTGTGGAGGGCCGGCGAAGGATGCACGGCCTGCTCAGCGCTCGCGCTCGCCTGCGCCCTCCTAAACCCGAGCCCCTCCCTCTGCCCACCCTCCCGACCCCATGAGGCACACGCTGGGCCTTCTGGCGCCCCTGCTGGGCCTGGGCCTGGGGCTGGCCCTGAGTCTGCGGGGGGCGGCAGCTGCAGACTGCGAGTCCATCGGCCCCGCGGAGCACCTGGTGTTCACCCCGGCAGCCAGGACCCGGTGGCTAGCCCCTCAAGTCCGTGCACCAGGGCCCCTGGACTCCCTCTACGGCACCGTGCGCCGCTTCCTCTCCGTGGTGCAGCTTAATCCCTTCCCTTCAGGTGAGTGTCCGCCCTCCCTCCAGGCAGGCCTTGGCAAGTATTGGGTCCCCAGCCAGCCCCTTCTGTTCCTTTTCCACCGTGAGGTGTGACCATCTATCAGCAAGCGCTGGGCGGGCAGGGTCCCCAGCATAACCCACTGCCGTCTCCCTGGGGTATGAGGGACAGCAGCTGGAGAGGGCTCCAGAACCTTCTCGTGTGACCTTGGGAGCCCTTTTTCCTCTCTGAGCCTCAGATGCGCTGTCTGTAAAGTGGAGGAGGTTGCATTAGAAGTATTAGAAATATGTTACTTTAGACGTGGCTCAGACATTCTCTGAGCCTAGGGGTGCCGGGGTTGGGAGGGCCAGGAGTGGCTGAAGGACCCCTCCTAGTCCTGTCTCCTGACACTCAGGGGGAGGTCTGTTAGACCAGGGCCCTTCTAGGCCTTTGCCCAGATTCAGGGCCTACCTGTAGGGTTCAGGAGAAGAGGGCTGCAGGCCTCCCCTCGGCTGCCCCCTCCTCTGGCAGCGCTGAGGCCCAGGCAGGATGGCACAGGGCTGTGGTGGCACTGCCTTCTCCAAGGGTATCATGGTAGTGGGAGGAGCCCCACCCTGGAGCCACTGTCTGGGCAATGGGGAGAGAGTGGACAGGGGCAGGGTTGTGGCAGCCCCCAAGCCTCCAAGCCCCCAGCTTGTTTTTTTCCGATAGGGTTAGTGAAGACCCTGCTGAACGAGCCAGCCTCCGTGAAGGTGGATGAGGTGAGGATGAGGCTGGAGGGGAGCGAGTCCCTGGGTGAGCAGGAGGGTGGGAGCAGAAAGACCTCCACTCAGCTCAGCTCAGCCCATTTGCTGAGTGTCCACTGGAGGGGGAGGTTCAAGCACTCCCTCCCCTCCCCCACGGGTGCTGCCCTGGCAGACCTGGGTTCAAACTACTTACTGGAATTGAGGTTTGCAGGGAACTCGAACCTCCCTGGGCTTGTTTCCTCCTCTGTGAGATAGTGATTAACAGTAGGAGTGTCGAGCACTCTGGCGTAGGTCCCACGAGATACAGGTGTGGGGCCCACCATGTTTGCACACCCCCCACTTCCCTCTGGATTCAGGCAGAGGCTGGGATAGGCTGGGCTGAGGAGCCGGGACAGCCTTTCATGCCCTGCTGCCCTGCCCAGGTGGTGCGGTACGAGGCGGGATATGTGGTGTGTGCTGTGATCGCAGGCCTCTACCTCCTGGTGGTGCCCACCACTGGGCTCTGCTTCTGCTGTGGCCGCAGCCGCCGGCGCTGTGGGGGTCGAGTGAAGACGGAGCACAAGGCCATGGCCTGTGAGCGCGGCGCCTTCATGGCCTTCCTGCTGCTGACCACCCTCGTGCTGCTGTGAGGGGCTGCCCAGGGCCGGCGGGCGGGGCTGGGGTGGCCCGAGGTTCCCAGGGCACCCAGCAAGCACCTTTCTCATCCCTTCCCTCCCCTCAGCATTGGCATGGTCTGTGCCTTTGTCACCAACCAGCACATGCATGAGCACACGGGCCCCAGTGTGGAGGCCATACCTGAGACCCTGCTCAGCCTCCGGGGTCTGGTCTCCGATGTCCCCCAGGTGAGCACCCTGTGATCCCACCATCCCCCGGTGCCCCGGTGAGCACCAGGCCCAGGCAAGACAGAGCAGAGCAGGTCCTCTAAGGCCCATAACCTGCAGATCAGAAAGGCTGCCCTCTGCTGGAGAGTCACTGTACCATGTGAACACACCCATGATGTCCTCAGGATTGGATGCCCAGCCCTGGATTTGGGGAAGGTTCTGGGAAGGGATGGAAGTTGGGGCTGTTGGGTAACAGGGCAACCTCACAGCCTTGTGTTTGCCTAGGAGCTGCAGGCCGTGGCACAGCAGTTCTCCTTGCCCCAGGGGCGAGTCTCGGAGGAGCTGGATGGTGAGGGTCACAGCGGGTTGGCAGGCTGGCCTGCCTGGGGGGCCCTCTCAATCCCTCATCCCGGACTCCATATGGGAACGCTCTCGCAGAGGTGGGGATCAGGCCCAGCTGGAGAGCAAGCCCTGCAGCCGCTCTGCTGTGGGACAGAGAAGCAGCAGAGCCCACTGCTGGAGCCTGGGGAGGCAGGATAGAGGGGTGGGGAGGGCCCCCTGCTCTTGGATGACCAGCTCTACAGCCTGCCCTGTGCTCTGCAGGTGTGGGTGTGGACATCGGGAGCACGATCCACGCCCAGCTCAAGAGCACCGTGTACCTGCTGCTGGCCTCCGTTCAAAGCCTGGGCCGGGGTGAGCTGCACCAGCACTCTGCGTGGTGTGGGGCCCAGCAGGCATCCTCCTGGAGCAGGCCCACCCTCACCCAGCCCTGGGTTTCTTGTACTGTCTCAGTCCAGTTGTGACTTCCCCACTGCCTTACCCCCAAGATCCCCTGGTCTCTGGCGTCCCTGCCCACTTCCTGACTTAACATGGCCTGGAACAATTTCATTGACTGCAGGTCATTTTGCCAGGGAGAGGGGGGCGTCCTGCTTCCTAAAAGGCCTCGGAGGAGGCCGGTGGTGGAGACTGCTCAGGGCAGACGTGGGTCTCTCAGCCCTGCAGGTCTGCGTAGACCACCTTCGAGCCCTGAATGCCACCGTGGTGGAGCTGCAGGTTGGGCAGCAGGACCTGGAACTGGGTGTCCGGGAGCACCGAGAACGCCTCCTTGCTCTGCTGCAGGATCCTGGGTGTCAGGGGGACTGCGCAGGGGCCCAGAGCCGGGCCCGTGCCCTGGAGTTGGGCGCTGACTTCCACCAGGTGCAGGTCTAAGACAGAGGGCCCTTAGAGCTAAGAAAGGACACTCTGCCTGCTGGCCCTGAGACTCCTGGGCATCCGAGTGGAGTGGGGGTCTCCTGAGACAGATTCCCTATCCCCTTCCTCAGGCTGCTCCTCCCTTTCTCCCCACACCCAGGGATAATGATGATCATCCTGTCAGTGGGCCAGAAGCTCTCCTAGGGCCACACCATGCCATGAGCTTCACATGCATCAGCTCTTTGAGTTCTTGTTGCCACCCAGGGCAGAAGATGTTGTGGTGGTCCCCATGTAATACCTGAGGACACTGAGGATTCAAAGGCCTCTGCCCCCCCATTCAAGCCCTGGGGATCCTCCTCTGTCCTCTCCATGAACTTTGTAATCATTCCCCTTCCCCCTTTCAGGTGCCCTCTGTGGACGATGTCCTGCATCGGCTGAAGGGTGTCCCAGAGGCCAATTTCTCCAGCATGGTCCAGGAGGTGAGTGCTCCTCCCACCTGCCAGGGGACTCACAACAAGGGAGAGCCTCAGTTTCCCTCTTTTGGATCGGTAGCCTGGTTGAACCCAAGACTTAGGGCCACACCTGCCACGTGGTGCCCTGAGCTGCAGTCTCACAATATCCATCCTCGGTGTGCGTTTGGTCTGGTGGTCAGAAGGAAAAGCTAGCACCCTCAAAGTGGTGGGGAGCTGGGTTGGCAAGGGAGCTCCAGCTGAGCCCTGGGGACAGGCAGTCTGATGGAGATTGGCCAGGGGGGAGGGCGCAGTATGAGTCAGCACCTGTGACCCAGGACCTGGAGTTGGGGAAAGGGTGAGTCAGCCGTGCTGCGTGGCTGGAGCAGAAGGTTCCGGAAGGAAGGAAGTGGGAGCTGAGGCTGGAAAGGTGGATTGGAGCTAGGCCCAGCAGTGGTTTGCAGAATGGCTGAGAGTTGACTGCAGTACTGCAGGAAGAGAAGTGGGGAGAGGAAGAAGGCTTCCGCAAGGAGCAATGTTTTGGGGAGTTGAGTCAGGCTTGGCCAAGTGAGGGGAGAGAAGGGTATTGGCCAAGACAACAAGGGGAAGCCTGTTTGCTGAGCTGGGAGCACTGAACAGGGTGCTCTTCCCCTGGGCCTGGTAACTTTGGGGTATCCCAAGATGGGACATTGAGCAAAGGCTGGGAGGCATAGCCCCACTTGCTTCCTGCAGGAAAACAGCACCTTCAACGCCCTCCCAGCCCTGGCTGAAGTACAGACGGCCAACCTGGTCAAAGGTGAGGCCATGCTGGTCAGAGACAGCTGCTCAGCCTGCTCCCCCTTTCGCTTATCAAGGAGGCTTGTTGACAGAGGAGGAGGTGGGGGCGGGGAAGGCCGTCCTCCCTGGCTGGTCCCCAACAGAGAGCAGGCCCTCTATAGGCCCCAGATGTTCTTCTGGCCTGCCTGTCTTGTCCTTGCGCCCCTGGTGTTTCCTCCCCATCCCACAATTCCTTGCTGCTTTGGCCAGAGCTGAAGAAGATGGTAGCCCAGCAGCCTGAAGGGGTGAGGACGCTGGCTGAGGGGTTCCCGGGTTCGGATGGATCTTCTCGCTGGAGCCAGGCACTAGAGGATCTGGAGCAGAGTAGCCACCCATACCTGCAGGAAGTGCAGAGATATGAGACATACAGGTGCCTGGGAGCCCATGGGGTGGAGTCAAGATGGGCAGCCCAACCTCTCCACCACCCTAAACCCCATTTCTAGCCCCCACCCACTCCTGGCTGTATTGACCCTCTGCCTCCTTTTAAGCCAAGACCCATTGACTCTTCCAGACTGTGTCCCAGCCTGCCTGTCTGTCCTCAGGAAATATTCTCACCCACACTCGTAAAGCCCAGCCTTAGGATCTGAGGCCTCGTCCAGCCATTGGGCCCTCTGCTGGCCCATCCTTGTGCCCGATTGCCTCCCTTCTCAGTGACACATGCACCCTCTCTGTGGCAGGTGGATCGTGGGCTGCGTGCTATGCTCCATGGTCCTGCTCGTGGTGGTCTGTAACCTGCTGGGCCTCAACTTGGGCATCTGGGGGCTGTCTGCCAGGGAGGACCCCAGTCACTCAGAAGCCAAGGGCGAGGCTGGAGCCCGTTTCCTCATGGTGTAAGTAGGTATTGGGAAGAGGGGACAGGTCTTCCTCCCACTGGACTGGCCAGATCACTCTTGCTGCTGTGGACAGCGCCTGGTGTGGCTGTAGAGATCCAGTCCCAAGAGTCAAGAGACTGAGCTTTAGTGCTGACTTACTGGGTGACCTTGGGCAAATTGCTAACCCATCTTGACCTCAGTGTGCTCATCTGAATAAAGGCCTTGGACCAGAGCAGATATGGCAAATAAGAAGTGCTTTCCCCTCCCACGTCAGTGGCCACCATAGTACCTAGTGGGCACTCCTTCCCACTGAGTCCAGACACACCCTCAGAATCCTTCTTAACCCAGCTTCCAGACAGCCACCATCAACAATAGGAGTCAGCACCAGAGGCAGAATGTTTACCAACCCCAGACTAGACAGTGTCTAAGGCCAGGGCTGCCACATACAGTTGTGCATGTTGTTTACAACACAAGGGGTGAGTTGGGGCTGAAATCTATCCCATGTGTCACCCTCCAAGCCTCAAAACCTGGCATGGGGCTTTGCCCACCTCACAAAAAAGCCCTGTAAGTCAGCAATACCCAGTCTAAGGATCTTTACGACTCACATCCACCGGGGTGCTGCCATGTTGGCCATGCCTGACCATGTAGGTCACTCTTTTGAGGGCTGGGTCCTGAAGTGGTCAGCCAGAGGTCCTGGCTTTTTCAAATAAAACAACTGTCCTCTTCTGTAGGGGTACCAGCTGTAGGTGGGGATGGGGTGGTGGTGAGGAGGATGGTCAGGAGTTCCAAGTTCTCCCTCCTGCCCAGGAGACTGAGGCCTCCCAGCTCCTGTTCCCAAAGGCTCTGCCCTGAGGCCAACCAGCTGACCAAGCTGGCCCTGGGATTCGGGTGGGGACAGAGGGTATGGTCCAGGGAAGCCAGTCTCTGCGGGTTGAGGGATCAACCCTGTCTCTCGCCTTCCCTAGAGGCGTGGGACTGAGCTTCCTCTTTGCTGCCCCCCTCATCCTACTCGTCTTTGCCACCTTCCTGGTGGGCGGCAATGTGCAGACGCTGGTGTGCCGGAGCTGGGAGAGCGGGGAGCTCTATGAGGTGGGCCTGTCCCCGCTCTGGGCCCAGAGGACGGCAGGGGCAGGAGTGGGCAGAGCAGGAGGGTTGGGATGAAGTGGGAGCCAGAGGGAGAGGGGAGCAGGAGGAGTGAGGACAGAGATGGCCAGAGAAGAAGATAGAAAACCAGTGATTGGGAGGAGAGAAAGCGAGGCACACACCCCTGAGTCCCGGGGATGCTTTCCAGGCCCCAGGAGGGACCCTGAGGGATTGCACCCAGACCTGAGCCCCTCTGCTCTCCTAACACTGAGTCTAAGACCTGGGACCCTGGTGCCCAGTGTTCTTCTGGGAGGTGAGCTGTGAGGCTGGCTGGAAGTCTCTCCTGAAGATGGGGCTGGCCACCCCTCCTAGAGACTTGTGAGATGAGTCCCTGTAAGGAGTTAGGGCCCAGGGCTCTCATTGGGCTAGAGACCAGGTTTGGGCTGGAGTCACCTGGGTGTTTCCCACCCCTGGTCTTTGCAGGGCCGGAGTGCACGGGGCCGGGTCCTAGGGGAGCTGAGGCGGCCTCGCCCCTACCCCACTCTGTGCCCCATTTATTCCTGTCCCGTCCCCAGTTTGCAGATACCCCGGGAAACTTGCCCCCGTCCATGAACCTGTCCCACCTTCTTGGTCTGAGGAAGAACATCAGCATCCAACGGGCCTATCAGTGAGTGGACAGCCTGGGCGGGGGGCTGGGGTATAAGAAGCGGTGTTCTGTTAGGGTGACATCACCCCACCTGTCCTGTCCTGTCACTCATACCCCCCTCAGGCAGTGCAAGGAAGGGGCTGCGCTCTGGAGAGTCCTGAAACTCAATGCCTCCTACGACCTGGACAAGCACCTGGATATCAGCCAGGTAAGAGAATGTTCCAGAGGCTGTGAGGAGCCCTCCTGCACACCCCTCTCCTTTGGTCTTGTCTTTCTGAGTCCCAGAAGTCTGCATGAGTGATTGAGTTGCCTCAGGGCAGAGGCCCGGCTACAAGCTCAGGGGTAGGTTCCAGGTGTGTGGGTAGGTACATGAGTACCCGGAGGCGATGGTACCACTGAAGCGGCACAGGAAAGGGTGGTGACAGTGAGTGAGGAGACTAGGGAGTGCGTGTGTCCTGAGGACATTGGTCCAGATGTTAGGAGGTAGCGGTCAGGAGGGATGTGGCAGTGACAAGGACGGTGGGGAGGCTGGGGAACATCAGTCTAGGCCTCACCACGGGCCCTTTGTCCAGCTCTCACAGCTTGTAGGTGCTGGTGGTAGGATTCGACCCCATAGCCTGACTCCCAGGACTATTCCTATAACCCTTGGGCTTTGCTGAAACTTGATTTGGAGGACTGGAGACCCTTACTGGCAGGAGACAGCTCTAGAACAAAGAAAAGGAAGGGCTACTTTGAGACTGTGGTCCTGTTAAACAGTCCTTCCTTTCCTCTCTCTATGCTGAAGTGTCAGGAGAGGTGCCTTAGCTTCCGGGTCCCCCAGGAGCCATTCCTAAGCATAGCCTGGGAAATCATCCTTACCCAGCTTTACTCCCCATGTGCCAACCAGCATGCTGACTCCTGATTCTGAGTCACTCCAAGAAACCCTTCCCCAGTCTCAGCCCATGGGGCTGTCCAGCAAGTGTTCCAGGCCCAGCTTCGTGCCTTAAAGTGCACAACCTGGGACAGCTGTCTCCATGCCTCGGCTCACTGCTCCTTCAGGAGGTTTGTTGAGCAGATGACATCTCAATGTAGGGCAGAGACACTGTCCTACAGACAAGGGCTGGCCAGGGAGAGCTCCACAGGGGCCCTGGACAGAGGGGCCCCTGTGCCCTATGGGCTGGTAGTCGTGACTCTCGGGTGGAGGGGCCTCAGTCCCAGTTCTGGGAGGGAAAGGGTCCAGCTCACAGAGGAACCTGGACAGCTAGGGCTTTAGGCTCAGACAGAACAGGCAGTCCTCAGAGGCCATCTGGCAATATACCACTTGTGAACGTAAGGATTCTCGTCTTCCAAGGGGATTGTAATGAGTGGATTATGCAGAGATGAATAAGACAAGACGTGCTTTCCAGGTCACCAAGAGGGCCCCACCCACCCTTTCACACCTCTCTACTGTCTGTCACTGATGGCTGTCCTAAGACCTCCACTCCTGAAAGGGTTAGACCTTTTCTCCCTCTGGCAGCCTGGTGGGATGGGGAGAGGTGTGCAGAGCTGGGCTGCATTCCCCTACTTACTGTGTATCATTGATTCATTCACATAGCCAACAAATGTGTTCCCTGCCCACCACATGTCAGCCTCCATGCTAAATGTTGGGTGTTTGGGGAAGAATAGGCAGCCCAGACCCCGCTGTCATGGAACTGACAGCAATGAGCTTGTACCCACATAAAAAAATAATTTCGGAACAGTGGGTGCTATGAAGGCCTTGACACAGGTGCTGTGACGTAGAGGGCCCGGGAAAGTCATTCTGCATCAGGTGGCCAGGGAAAGTGTGTCGCAGCCCAGATAGGCGCTAAAGGGAGATTGGGTCTTGGCCTTTGGGGTTGGGGGAGCAGGGGCCTACTAGGAGCCTGTCTAGGGCTGGGGGTGTGTCCAGAGTAGGGGTTCCTGAGGGCCTGGTGACCCTTTACCTAGGGGAGCCTCTCTGGGGCCCTGGCTCAGCAACTGGGCATGCTGTCCACCCCACCCTGCCCTCCCAGTACACCGGCAAGCTGCAGCAGGAGTTGCACAACCTCCGAGTGGACATACAGAGCCTGAACCTGCTGAGCCCAGCTGCCCGCCGGGACCTGGAGGCCCTGCAGAGCAGCGGGCTCGAGAATATCCGCTACCCTGACTTCCTCGTTCAGGTCAGGAGTGGGCACCTCAGCTGCCCCAGCTAGAGGGGGATGGGACAGAGGGCCCACAGACGAGCTGGGCATGTCTTCCCCTCGTCCCAGCTCTCGATCTTCCCTCCCTCGATTCCTCCGCCTGCTTCCTGGGACCTCATCCTGTTGCGAGTGGCCCAGACCAGGTGCCCCTGGACCTGTACTGGTGCCATCACTCCGGCCAGGCTGCAATGAACTCCCTCTCCCCAGCCCAGCAGCGTGTGCCGCTGTTCGTGGTCCTGAACCCACTGACGCAGACTGGTGGTGGGACGCGCCTCTTCCAGTTTAGACACCCGAGGGGGACTTGTTTGCTGTTGTTGTTTCTACCTCGTTGGGCAGTGCGGGGAACTGGGCTCATCCCCTTGGTCTCTCCTGTCTGCCCTCAGATCCAGAAGCCCGTGGTGAAGACCAACATGGAGCAACTGGCCCGGGAGCTGGAAGGACTGGCCGGAGCCCAAGTGAGGCGGGAGCAGAGACCGCCCCCCCCCCCGGGCAGCAGGAGTCAGAGGAAGGCCTGGGA